TAATGTCACAGCTTAACTACACAGCTACTTACTAAGACTTACTGGGTGGTGCTTTATACCAGATCATCTTGCTGAATGCTGGACTTGTGAGTCTGTCCCCTCTCCTGCCTGCAGTAACTTGAAGGCAGATCTCTGCCGTTCTGTAGACCATGGGTTGTCCAGAGCAGGGCTGCATAAAGGCACATCTGATTCTTTCCACCAAAGTCACTCCATTTTCTAGAATGTAAGACAAAGTTCAGTTTAACAGATGCCAGGACCATGTACACTGCAGAGGCTGTTTTTCTTCCTTACCTAAAGGGAGGACACGTCCTACAGTCCCAGCTCCATGGCTGTCACCGAACTAGTGCTTCATGTGGACAGCACAGACAGTGCCTGCAGCAAGAAGCAGAACTGAAGGGTGACGCTGTTGGATATCCCCCAAAAGGGAAAAGTTATGCTACCCCTTTCTGTTAGTGAGTGTTAGGGCTGTTCAAAGGCCTAGCTGTTCACTTTTTGCATGGGGAGCCCCAGAAAGCACCTCAGAGCTTTGGACTGTCAGGATGACGGAGGCATTAGAATGGCAAGACACTTGTACCTAAGACGTTGCCCTGGTTTTTGAGTGAGACTGAGCCTTGTACCTGCATACCCAGGCAGTCAGTGGACTCAAGCAGTCTGGGCCACCGTTTCTCACAGAAACGGAAACTGGTCACTCGGCCAAACACTCACTTTCTGGAGCATAAACCTTTTGAAAACAAACAAACAAAAAAACCCCTTGAGGCTCAGGAAAGACCAGTGAACCGTAAAGACCTAGTGAGATGGTCCAGGTCCAAATTAGCAGCACTGAACAGTGGTTCAACAGAGCAAAACCTTTCAGCTTTTTGCTATCAGTATCAGAAGAAAACCAGGGTACATTTAAACTCCAGCACCTTGCCAGTTTAACAGTAAATGGCCTATATTGAATAGCTGGCAACACATTCACTCTCCTTGTTTTCCTTCCTTGTTAAATGTTTCCTGGCATGGTGACAGGTAAAGCATAATACAGCTTGGCAATATGGCTTTTACATGGTGAAACAGCTCCTCCGTGCTACGCTAGAATACATATTACTGTGACAAGGGGCTTTATTCTGAATTATCTGCACATACTAAAAGCCAGTGGGAAATTGGAGGAGAGTTTAGTGAAAACTACATAAGATTTTGTTACCGCTGAGCGGAAAATTTTGGATGGAAATCACGGAGTGTGGGGTTTAATCACAGCTCCTTTTGCTCGGCACATTATGGAAGGCAGACTCAGCCATTAAAAATTCCCTTGGGAAAGGTGGATGGTTATCCAGCATTAAGCATGTTTCTGTGGCACCGAATTCTTCAGATTGCTTGTGGAGTTAAGTCATCCACTTTTTAACCTGACAGTGCTTGTTGATAAAAACAGTACTGAGAACTCGATGGAACACTTACACAAAGCTGATAGATGAGATAGATGAAGAGGATTTATCCTGTGGAAGGAGAGCTGGTTAGGAATAAAGCTGTGCTGACTTCTAAGCACAGAAATGATCAGGTTATGCAATTATTTTTTAACATACATGTGAGTGATGGAGAGCAGAAACCCATGCAAACCTGGTTCTGTGCTGCTCTTCCTTGAAGACAGTCTTCCCCAGAGCCACTGTTGTGCCTCATAGAGGCATCTTCACTGGGCAGCTTTCTGAAATGCAGGAGCCATTTTGCATTTCAAATTTATGAGATATTTTGTATCAGGAAGCTGCTGTTAAACAAAGGCCTTACTTGCTCTGAGGGATGGGATAAAATGCTAAAGACATTCTGGCTGATACAAGTTGTTGTTGAGAGTTTGAGCTGAAGGAAATGACCAAGAGGAGAACAGAGAAATTTCTGAGCCAGCAGGTTTTTCTGTTTCTATCTCATAGACTTATTTTCATATTTAACATTTTCATATTCCTGCTTTGTTCAGCCTATGAGGGGTTTCATGCAATGGTCATAACTGGAGTGTTGGATGGGTGTTTTTTCCCCTTGAAGATTGTTTCTATTTAATATCAAAATGATGAGCTCATTTTGTATTTTCAGAGTTTTAAAATTGGTTTGGAAAAATCAAGGCTCAGGCCACTTTCACCATCCAACACCTACCAGAGGCCTCAGACAATGACCTATAGAGAGCTTGAAAACCAAGAGAATGTAAGTCAGACTGAACGGGGCCTAAGGTAAAAAAAGAGTCTGTGCTGGTAAACTTCTTTTCATTAAATGAGAAGACTGGTATCTTTACTGTCTTGGTTATCTCAGCCACCAAGAACTCCCATAGGAAGACAGAAACCATCTTTCTGGTGTCCTCTGTATGGGAACACTATCAGAAATATTGAGGAAACAAGTGACTACAGTCTTCAGATGCTGCCTACCATTGGCCACACAGGACATCCACCATGCAGGGCAACCAGGTAAGCTGGATAACCAGAAGTATTGATGAGCAAGGATGAATAAAGGCAAAAATGTTCTTTGCCACTGTTGTCACAAGAACCCCTGGAGATTCATTTTATATGGAGACATTCCAAAATAAATTTAACTGTGCCAAAAAAAAACAAGGGGTAGTGAGGGACCTAAGATTACCTTGGCCATTTCTGTCAGATGTTTCTTATGATCTCCAGGTGACCAACACAGTCCTCACCAGCTGAGCAGCAGCCTTCATCCGTGCTCCATGCTGCATGACAGGGAACTGACCATACTTTGAAGACAGGAGACAAGCTTCATAAGTAGTCTGTCAGCAGAATTATTTCTGAGGCCCTTGATTAATAATGTAGGACATCAGTGATCTTGGAAAACTTTAACATCAGCACTGTTCTTGGCTGAACAGAACAGCTGTTGACATCCTTGTTGCTGTTTCTTGGCTGAAGACAGATGTTTGTGAGGTTAGATGGAAAAGGCAAGAGTGTATGAACAGTGGAAGACACTCACAGCTTCCTTATACTTACATGGGGACTCAATCTGTATTCTGGGACATCTTTTAGATTATAATTGCTCCATGATTAAGTATGTGCCAATGGCATCTCTTAGGAGTTGAGACAAGATGTACACTCCTGTTACTTGTATGATGATGTCTGAATAGTCCTCGTATGGCAGAGAAAATACAAGTGCACTAGGGAAGAGCAATAAATACCATTAACTGCTCTATTGGTTTCTATTTTTGAAGGGTGCTCTGGTCTCAGATGTTAATGGAGTGGCTTAATTTTCCATGAAATGGTCATAAACTCAGGAAAACGTAATTCAGGGATGAGGCATGATATCTTGTGTTGAAAAAAGGCTGGATGTTCTTAATGCCTAAAAAAAGATTGTTCAGCAGCAGATCAGCTGTATAAAAATGTGACCCCTCTAATGCTTCCAAGTTCAAAATGATTTGCTGGCTAAGTGTCATTTGAACAAGTTAAAGCTTCACAGTTTACTAAAGGATGTGTTTTGTATTCTGGTCCAAGTATGACTACACCAGAAAATGCTTTCCCTGAATCATCTGAAATATCAAATGTAAGGCAAAATTTTGCTTCAAACTTCCATGAAGAGCTAAAGCTTCTCCACCCACAATAATATACAAACTACATAGTAAATCACCTTTCTGAAAACATTTCATCCACTTTATACTTTCAGTCCAACTATTAAAGGCTTCTGTAAGTAAATCTCTTATTTCTTTAAGGGAATAAAACTGCCCTGAGCTTACAGACACTTTCACCTTGAGGATCCCATGAAGAAAACTGTTCTGGGGATGGAGAAATAAGACCCCATCTCAGGAGGTCCTGGGGCCCTACTAGTCTCAGAGCTGTCCCATCCACCAGTCCCACTGAGAGAAACATCAAGCAAGAAGCAAGCTCCATCCTGCAGAGGGAAGACCTGTGCCAGAGGCATGCTCAGGCATGATCAGACTGTTTATAGGTATAGGAAATTCGCTGGGATCTGTCTTCTTTCACCTTTCTTCTTTCCAGATTTTTTTCTCAGACATTTTTCCTGCACAGGAGCTGCTTCTATAGCCCCTAGAGAAGTCACTAGGAGCATCTTCTTTTCATGCTGTGGGAGCAGAGGCTTTAACCACACTGCCCCAGTTACATGGACAAGTGAAGTCAGGATTTTGAGCATTATTGTTATAAAGTTGAGAAGTGGGGCTAGAAAGAACGTTGGTGAGGAGAATGGTCGTGATTTGCTCAAGATCTTGAGGTGAAGGATGGCATGAACTTGGAAGGAAGCCAGAACAAGTAATCTCATCCATGGTTCTTGTGTTGAGAAATAATCCTAAGCAGAAAACAGATCACTGTCCCCAGACTCCTGTGGCTCCTATACTGAAACCAGTAGGACCATTACAGCAAGAAAGGAGGTTAATAACTAACTCATTTCTCTGAGCCAGCAGATACAAAGCAGAAAGCAGCTGGAGGGTACCCAGAGCTGCTCCTGTGCTATTGCCACAAAAAAAAAAAAAAATCCCCTTGCACTGGCACTGCAGATATGAGAGAGTTTGAAGAGGTTTACTGCTGTAGGACTAAGAGTTTTTAGGCACTGATTAGCTGATATAGGATTAAGCGTTATCCAGCCATTAATTATTATCCAGCCCATGTGCCATCTGATGCACTTCCAGAAAAAGCACCCCACCAGAGGTGCTGTTTAAACACCAGGTGTAGGTGATGCTTGTTATTATGTAGGTGTTACTAAATGATTTGGGAATGAAAGCAATTTTAAATTTAAATCTTATAAATTATTAGGGACAATTAATAGACAGTTTTTTCCCAAAGTTAAGTAATTTCTATTATTAAATCTGCTTTTTTGTTTTTCAGTACTGAACCCATCATTATACAATATAACACAGTGAACAAAATAGGGTCCATCACACTGTATCATCTACTATTATTTATCCATGTCTGTGTAACAATTTCATCATTTGATAAAATAATAGCAGATTCCACAATATGTCATTCACGTATCCCCAGTTTATCTATAATGATTTTCCTCTTGTCAGCTCATTTCTTGAACCTTTGCTGAATCTGGTTTCAATAGTACTATAAACAATCATCATTGCATTGTAAAACTGGAAACTCTCCACTAAAATAGTGTTTTGATCTGGGTTGCCATAGTAATAAGTCTGTGCTCCCCTCTTTGGAGGCCTTGTTATATGAAGTATCTGTGATTTGCTCAGAATGGCCCCAGTTCATCTGTCAAAGTAGGTTTTTCCTTTTTTAAAATAATGATCTAGAAAATCCCACAGTGGCAACAAATATTTTACAACCATAACGAGAAACATTGTATCACTCAAGCTTTGTAAATCTATGCCATTATTGTATTAGAATAAATCATTTTCCTTAGGTATATTACTTAGAAATATGCAATTCTAATTTTAGAGCATGTATTCAATAGGGGGTATTTATTTTTTATGTAAAGAGAATTATTAACTTTGACTTCAAAAATACATCACATGTCAGATTGTGTTTAGAGGCCCTGCAGCAAAAAGAAAAAAAACCCGACTTTTTTTCTTATTTCTATCAAAATACCACAAATATCCAGTCAGTTTCAGATTTAGTTACTCTAGTCCATTCTTAAGTGCTGATTTTTATAATGAGATCAGATATTACCATAGATTTTACAACTGCACCCTCAGATAAATGATATTCAGATTATATACTTGCAAAAATTAGAAGTCCTGAAAATACATCAACGACACTATGAAAATATATCACTATACATTATTTTAAATACAAATGCTCCAGTCAGTTACAGTAATTTGATACATGAACTATGATATTTCCTCCTGCAGGAATGAGAGTAAACAAACACTACATCAACACGCCAGTGACAGACTCCATGGAAAGAAGTAAGGATGGGGATCATATTTTATCTAAGACAAATGGTTAAGTTGGTTACTTTATGTAAGTCGCTACCAGCTACAGGATTACTTCATGTAACTCACTGTCAGCTACTGCCTCATAATACCTGACAGGGGAATATTAAAATCATCAGTGGGAGAAAGTACAGAAGGTATCTATCTCTTATTCAATGAATTCTAATTAAAAAGTAATTACTGTACGGTGAGGAATCTGCCAGCCTCAGGCTCCTCCCCGCACATACGCTGGTTGACTTCATGGCAGAGGGGAGGTGAGCTGAGGTGCATATGCATATTTCCTTACATTTTGCCAGTTCCTTAGTTCTAAGTAGTGCCAGACCATGGGAAGTCTTCGGAAATAGTTTTATATCATTTTGCTGAGTGGATCCCCAGAAGACGCTGTGGGGGCAGAGGTGCTACACATCTTCCGTTATAATTGACCTGGGCTTTGAGATTTCTCTGTCATGATGTATCCCAGAAAGGTGCATGATGGGAAGAAACTTGTTATTCCTCCAGCAGTGCCAAATGGACAAGATCAAGTAGGCCTGGGACTTGAAAAAAAGGAAGAAATATTGACAGATAAGTAACCACTCCAGTAAATGACAGGCAGGCACAGGAAGCTTGATTTCCTTGGGGTTCAGAGGTAATCTATTAACCTTAAAACATTTCAGTGCAAATGTAATAGTTTGGTTTTTTTTAAATACAAAAATATAAGATGTTTAATTGAAATCATTAGGTCTATTTTGATTTCTTTTACTCCTTGCAAGTTATCAAAGTGGGAACAAAAATCCACCCATGACTAAGAAAGCTAAACCCAGACTTAATTCAGCCCAAAATATTTATTCATCAGATTACCAAAAATGTATCCGTAATATAGCTCAAGAACTTTAAAGGTATCCTCTGAGAAGCTGTCATTTTTTTATGGCTCTGTGACTGGCATTGAAACATTTGATTTCAAATTCTTTGGATAGTAGCTCATCAATAGCGAGGGAAATGCTAGGACAAATTGACATCAATAAGGTGGATTGGACTAATTAGGAGCAGAATTTGTCTCTTGAGACTACTGTCTCATTTAGCACACTCAGTGCCAGCCCAGCCCATACCGATGCATGTCCTGGGGCCCAGGAGAAAAGTTCTCCTGGCTGCTGTGTACACACACACCCAGTCACATGTCCCAGACTCAGGATGAAGTGCTAGCTCTTCATGCTGGCACAATCCAGAACAAAAGGATTACAAGTACTCTGGATTTAGGCTCCATTACTGAAGATTTCTGTAATTTCTACTTCAAGATGCTCTCATGTTCCCACTGTTTACAGCTGGGAATTCTCTTGCACTGAGAGGTATCCTCTTGGCCAGAAGCAGCTTTTCTGCCTTACCCAAAATTCTGTTGACATTTGGCTCAGGTTCCAGTTAAAAAAATCATTCCTGCTCTCCCCTGTGTGTCCCCCAGTTGAATTCTTGTATCCTGCGAGGCTCTCTGGGTCAGCCACATCCAGACTCATGGCACAGCAATATTGTACATTGCCTCAGGCCCTGCTAAAGAGGTTGCTGGAACAGAGAGGGAAGTGGGATGAAGAGGCCAAATTCCCTCCACCTTGCAACTCTCTAGACAGCCTATATTCCTCCTACAACCCATTCACATCCTCTGTTGCAGGACCAGCATGAGGAAAAAGCTTTAAAACAAAGGAACACAACAGGAAAAAGGGGATGAATCGCCTTGACCTCACCATGCAGTCTACCTCCAATCATTCTTAACTGACATCTTCCATGCTACAGTTTAAACAGATTACACTTTGATCTATCTACCCTTGAAAATCGATTATTTATATGACTTGAACACACAGCACAATAATTCTCTCCTTCCTTTCCATAACTTTTTTCATATTTGTTGAAGTCTGTTACACTCCCTCAGTCTCTTTCTCCAGGTTAAATTACACCACTCACCCAATCTTCCCTGGTAGATTATGTTTTCCAGACCACTAGCTGTTTCTGTTCTTATCCTCTGGACAGTTTCTTATTGATCATCCACTTCTGGAGATTTGTTTCTCATTCTGCCATGACAGCAAGCCAAATAAAGAAACAGTTGGTCCTGGAAATGTGTTATGTTGAAGAAAGAGAGAGGTTTACTGCTCACTCAGCTTGATAGAGACTCACAGGTCTCTAGAGATACAGGTTTGGTCCCACAGATCCATTTTACCAAGAATGGAATTTAATTCTGGATGGATTAGTACTCTCTGGCAAGACTCCAAGGCATATCCTCACCATGAGGTACAGGAGTAATCTCTTAAACTTAAGGAGACACAATGTGTAGATTCAAAATTACATCTGCATCTTTACAGAAACAAATTTGCATTACCTAAAATATACCTACAAAAAATACCCAAAGTGCTGCTTAATATTTTCAATAACTTAAAGTTTTAACTTTTTTTCCCCTAGTTTTACTTATACATTAATATAATTAAATTATATTTCCTTTTGATATCTTCTCCTCTTAGGTTACATGACACCTGATTCTCATTTATACCAGGACTGCTTTTGGCTTGCTCTTGATAATAGCATGTACTTTAGATATAACAAAATACACTCCCACCTAAATGTCCCTCTACTCTGTCAGAGTGACGTAACTTAGCATTAGTGTAAAGGAATCCTGGACCTCAACTTTGTAGATCCATGTTGACTTTTTAAGTTTGAGGTCTTAATATGATGTAAAAGCAGGTGCAATTGTATTTTGAGTAAAGTATTATTATATTCTTAATGCCATAACGTACATTTTCGTAAAATAGTAATGTAGGTTTTTCAGTGCATAATTTGGTGGCTTTGGGAATATTAGAAGAGGAAATGTGTTGGATCTGGATTCTGAAATATGCCTTAATGCCTACTTGCTAATTATTATCAGGCCATCTGCAATGCTCTGCAGTCATTTTGTGAGAGATCTCTCTTGACCCACCCTGCATTTTTTCCCACTACACCCACCCTTTCCATCAGCTCAGCATGGACACAGTATTACTCAGTTTCCTCATGCTGAGAGGGGTTAGGTGAGGCAAAGGCTTGCACTCTACAGTCTTATCCTATCTCCTAACTCTTTTTCTGTCCACCTAAAGTCTCCTGATTGTAACCGTGAAGAACATAATGGGAAAAGCGTATCGACTTGTTTAATTTAAAACAGGGTATGTGAACTATCTTTACAATAACTACTTGTTTCAATAATTTATAACTGTGATGCTATACCTGACAAAATGATTCAGATAACTAGAGCAATGTGCACTTTAAGTTTAAAGTCAAGGTCTTCCTTGCTCATTTTAATGACTTCTCTTGTGCACAAGATATTAATATTCCTGTGAGCAAACATAGCACTGACTCATTAATCAATAGGGGCTGGCTCCTCTACATAATAACAATAGCTGTACTAGATAATTAACTTTTGTTCCATTGGCTTTAGTTTGTACATAATTTCCAGTGGCTGACACTGGTTAATAAAAAGCTTCGCAGATGACAGACACCTTTTAAAACCCTTTTTACTTGTTTTGGAAAATGATCCACACCTACTGATACAAGTAAAATACAATGCGGGTGTCGGTGTGTGTCCATGCCATATTTAAAAGGAGGCAACTGACAATAAATAAAAGACCTAATAAATATTGTAAGGCTTCAGTGAGTCCTGCTGTTAAATCGTAGCATAGTGAAGGATTTGCATTTTCCTGTCATGTAGTTATAAGACTAGAGATAAAGGTATGTCTACAATTATATGAGTATTCTAGGCAACTGGCAGATTTCTTCATTCCAGACTGGGATAAGAAACACACATGTTTCTGCACTGTTCTTTTTCCACAAACACGCTTTTAATACTAGGGCAAGTTCACCAAAAGTGGCAACAGCAGAAACTCAACTGTAGCACTGAGAGACTTACCCCAGAGTGAGGTACAGCACTGTCTGTGCCAGAACACAAATGAAAAGGTAGCTTTAAATCCAAAATTTTGGTGACTCACTTAGCAAAATGGCTCCACAGACAGCTGCAGCAGCATCTTCCACGAGCCCACAGACTATGGCACAGGGGCAGGCACGTGCAGCACGGAAGTAGGAACCTCTGGGGCATGGCCACTCACAGACAGCCACCAGGGACGGACAGCTCTTCGCCCAGCCTATCATTTCCTTTGCTTCCATCGTTAAGGATTTTCAGCCAATGTTACTTATGCCTTCTTCCTTAAAAAAAACAACAAAACACAGGGGAAGCCAACTTGATGTCATTAGCAGAGCAGATTGGAGAGGGAGAAATCTACTGTATGCAGGACCTGGAGTCTTCAAAATCTACCTTTCTTCCAAAATGAAAGTAAATTTTTCTTTAGAAAAAAAAGAAATCTTAAATCACTTAATGCTTTCTTTTGATGTATTACATGTTTAATTTGTCATCTAGAGTATAACACAGCATTAAATAAACCCCACACATGAGAAATTTGAAAAGCAAAAATGGAAATACTGTATTTAATAAATATCGATCTGTCTGCCAAATAGTGAATTTCTGACACTCCTATATCTCTTTCTGACTGATATGGGTTGTTGGGAAAGTCAGTCTGGTATTCTTTCAGAGATGATGGAAGTGCATCTTCTGAAGAAAATAACATCCCACTGACTTTTCATTAGACAGATATTTACCTGTAGATATTAGTTCTGAAACCAACCATGCTTATAATCCACTGTAGAATAAGAAAGTTCAGTATAACATATGTTTCACAATTCTTATCTATGGCTGTATTTTCCTTTGTGATGTTGAGTGTTGCAGGATCCAGACATTCAGCCATGTAAATCACTGCTGCTCATTGACACTAACTGAGCTACCATGATTTGCCCAGATGAAAATCATCCCTTAGATCTGATGTTGATAAAGCGTCCTCACAAATGTGAGCATAAACCATTTGTGAAATGTTTCTGCTTTCAGTTTCAAAGATGAAGATAGCTATCTCCCTTATTCATACAAAACACCCCACGCAGAGAATGCCTTGATTAAGCCTTAAATCAAAAGCTAAAGCATGTGAAACAAAAGAGCTTCATACACCTGTTAGAAGAAAAATGCAGGCTAAGTGAGTACTTATTTGCATCATACAGCATGGTCTCCAGCAGGAATAAAATATACTGCAAGTCAATGGCCCGTCAGCTTCTATATAGAAGGGAAAACATTCTTGTGTTCAAAATTGTGGAAATATCAATATTTCAAAAGGTAGTTTTACGGTTCATTCAAGCACTGATAAGAAATCATTACACTTTTTAAGAATATTGATGATTACGGAGAGGCATTTAATGGAGGGAAAGCCTTTTTTTGCAGTTCGTTAGTTTGTGCATGTCTAATTGACTCTTCGAGACTCTTTTGCATGAGACACTAAACACAGTTTTAACTAGATTATTTTTATACCAGTTATAAGCAAATGTCTCCACCTTACAGAAATTTCCTTTCCAGGTCTTCCCAATGAGTACTGTCAAGTTCTAGACAGAGTTCAATGCAGGAAATGCCTGAAAAATCAGCAATTAAGTCACCTATTTTTTCCTACAGCAATAGGTTAGCCAAGAAGCTGATTTAGTAGATTAGATATTATATTTAGAATATGTAGGCCCCTGGACAAAATGAGTTCACCTCTTTGTCTATCTAGATAGGCTATGAGGATTGTTTCTATGTCAGCTGCTAGATCCTGTTTGAACTATCTGGGCAGTGGGAGCAGAAAAAAAAAGCTGAAATGCAATATGTAAAACCTCTACCAACTCCAGTGGCACAAAGCAAGGCAAAGGTACTCACTGTCCTTCCTGAAAGATCCCATGTCTCCCATGGGGTTGTGAGGACACTCCCTCATGAAGCTTCTCCCACTTAGTAGGCTATGGGCTATCTAGGGCACGAAGAGGATTATGGTACAGCTCAAAGCACATGGAGAGCTGTGCATGTTGAAGGCACTGGCTGGGCTCTGCAAAACAGTGTCATTAAACATGACCTCCGAGGCTATTGCAAACTTCTGTGGTACACAATCAACTATTAAGTCAATGAAATCATTTGTATCAAAGACATTGTGACACTGTCTGAACATGGGAATGGAAAATAAAAAGACAGCCCTGCATGTACATATGGTCATGGTCCAGTGCAGTGAGTGTTACTGCTTGGTTTGCTGAAGCATACTGGACAAGCTTTAGAGCTTGTTATTTTTGCAAGAACTACACTGGGGAAAATATCTGATGTATGTTTTAGTAAAAAATATAAACCAGAATCAAGGCAAATGTAAGGCAAATGTTTTGCAGTTTCAAAGTCAAGAATGGCACTCTATGCAAAGCTCCTGTGATTACAGAGAAATTTTTCCTCCTGTGAATACTATTTACCATTTTTATTCACCTCAGTTCTTGCTGCTGCCCCAGGAGACTGGAAGCAGAATTATGGTGCTCTGTGGAGAGATCTTATTCTCATGACATTTCTAGCCCCCATTTTGTTGAACCAACAGACGTGGATCACTGGGATAAGATTACTCTGGCAAGCACTACAACTTTTAGTTGCTTACTGGCTTCCACAGCCGTTGGGGATTTACTCAACTTCAGTGAGAAAAGCTGTGCTTGTCCTTATCAGCTGATGTGCACTAGTCCTCTTTGCTCCCAATTGGATCTGAAAGGCACTATTGACCCCCTGCTCCTGCTGGGCCAGACGTGTCACAGCCAGGCAGAGGCAGCAGGACACTACTCACACAGCAGCCGGCTCTGCCTCCTTGCCACCTTCCAGGTGGACTCTACTGCACGGAGATCCCCTGCTGGTGGGGACCTGGCTGCACACTCCATGGGGTTTGCTGCCACCTGGGTTAACCACATGGGACCCCACAGGCCATCAGACATTATTCAAAAAGATCTTGGAGTCTAAAATTAACATGACTCCATAACTGGCTATGCTGAGCTTTTGTCATGCTTACCTTTTTCCAGTTCCTTATTATAATAATGTTACATGAGATTGGCTAATAGCACCAAGCATTTGTCCCCACATTTAGCTTGAATAAGCACATTAATTACAGCAAAAGAATACAGCATTTG